CTGTTCTGCTTCGACATGAGATCTTTGAAATTAGTACAAACTTGCATTACAGCACTAGAATTTGCATACTAAATATGCATTGCAACTATTATTGCTTTGGTGTATTTTTATGCTGGGTTTTAGAAGGCTTTCTCATACTTTTTATGTGGCTGTTTCACACATTATTCCCTATGTGGGCTTTATTTTCATTCCATGTGGACAATGCTTGTGTGATTGTTGCATGCAGGAATTGACATGTGGGTTTCAGGGCCTTGCATGGAATTGTTTTCCATGCTAGGACCCTATTAATTTGTAAAGTGGTTTCTGTTGGAAAAGAAAACTTAAGCTCTGCTAGGAAGACTAATTCAAAATTGATAATACCAGATTTATCACAAGGCAGAGTAAACCCACCTGATCGCTATTTAATATGACTGAAAATAGCATCTTGCAGTAGTTGAAAACTAACAATGGAATTGTCAAGAGCTTTAGTCTCAGAATGGCTTTCCTTGTGTTTATAACCATTGCCAAGGTTCCTTCAGCTTTTCCTTACTTTGGGAAAATGGCAAAAGGCATCCCATCATTTTGTTCCCAAATAAGTGCTAAATAGAGTACTTATTTTTTAAAAAATTCATCCCCATTCTCTGTGCTCTTCCCCAACACCCAGAGTGAAAGAAAAGAGTTCAGAATTGTAGAGGCATAAGATATTAAAGGTTTCTTCAATTTAGACATAATCAACTAACTAAATAGGTTTCTGACAGTGGTTAAAATCCTGTTGTGTAGCATAGTAAATTGTATTAGAGTAGGCCCATTAAATGATTGGAGATTTGGTGAGTCAGCTCCTACATCCCACTGATTCCTATTCTTTAGCATAGGAAGTCACAACTAGAGTAGGCCCATTTGAATCAATAGACCTTACAGAGGAGTGGACTCATCAAATCCCCACTGATTTGATGGTTTTACTCTAGTACCTACTAAGCAACATGATTCCAGAAACTTGGTGTTTATAGACTGAGCCTTCCAGCTTCCTGTGAGGCCTGAAAAAATTGCCTGCTACCAGACATAAACTAACTTTGCTTTCACAGTAGCCATTTTCTTTGGAAACCACATCTCTGTCTTGTTCCTCTTGAAAGTGCATTTGGTTTCCATCTTTCATATTCCAGTTTTGTCTCAGACCTAATCTGTAATAACTGGGAAAGGAGTAGTAAAATATAGTTGCAGCACAAACCTGTACAGTGTAGACAGGCAAAACACTACTGAAACTCTAAGCCACCCGTGTGGTTTTAATTAAGTACTACTGTCTTCAGGTGCAATCTGTTTTATTGTTGTCTGATGAGCCCAGGGTGGGAGATTAATGTCTCTTCAATTGTGTCTCTGAATGGCCCCAGTATAAACAGTATTCCTGAAAGATGAAAGTTTTAATCAGTGGTTTCTTCTCCCCTTTCATACTTTAGATTCTGAGTCTGAATATTAAATATCCAAATTATTATTTGGTCACACCCCTTCCCTTTTGAGGCCTGCCCCTTGGGAGTGTGGCCCTCACGCTATCGGTGAATCTGAAAAAATTGCCCTTGGCCCCAATAAAATCATTCATCTGGATTGTAGTAAGGAAGTATATACCATTTTGTATTAAAAATGAAAAGAGGAAATCTTCATGGGAGAAAAATCAGCCATAAAGGTTGCACACCTGTCCACCTACAAAAATAACTTTTGGGGGCTACAGCTGCTATTATTCTGGGTGATGTAGTCTGAAAAAAAGATTTTTTCTCTCCCTGTGCCGACACTTGTTAAGATAGATTGTCCAAGCGCTGATTCTGCACTTGTAAAAAAGCAGTAAAATGAAATGAACCTACAAAGAGAAGAACTCTTTCTCATTACTGAAAATTCTTCTGAGCAAACTTCATAGGAAGATCTTGGCTATAGAATAGGGGTTTTCTAAATAATATGGTGTATTTAATGTTTGTCTTTTAATTCCCCTTCTAGGTAATTGAGAAAGCAATGCCTCAGTTACTGTAAAAGGGCTGAAATGCAGAAACAAGATTAAAATGTTAAATTTTTTTATTTAATTCAAAAAACATTTACTCTTCTATGTCATCTGGGTTTTCCAATATAGATGATGATGATTTTTAATAATAATAAAGGTTTATTACGGTTAATGATTTGACCCAGCTCGGGGAGGCAGTGGAAGACAGGAGGGCCTGGCGTGCTCTGGTCCATGGGGTCATGAAGAGTCAGACATGACTTAATGACTAAACAACAACATGGTTAATGACCAGGAAGATAAAAGTACATTATTTAAATAAAATCACATAATATCAGAGACACTGGTCAAGACTGTCACTATCAATGCACCGTCTGGCTCTTTTACGATATTAAAGTTAAAAAGAAGTTCTAAGTTAGCCAGCGTCATTGAAGAATATAAAAGCTTTTATAACATTACAGCAGTTACATGATATAGGATGAAATAAGAGAAACGTATGTCCATCAGTATGCCACCCCAGCTTTCCTAAAAAGTAAGTTAAACAAGAAATCTCTAACAAGGTTGGGGACCTCATGATGGTTTTTAAAACAATTGAATGCATGCCTTCTTTATACTCCCACATTCCTTCATTCCTATACCACCCAGAGTAGGTTTTAGGTTTTTTGGATAAAAGGAAACCATGTGGTTTTGAAACTCTATCACTCTTTTCATAGTTTTCTCTCCTCCCCCACCACCTTTTTAATGAAAAATTGAAAATTTGTGACAATCTGCCTTGTGTGAACTCCTGAAATTTCATTAAAAGTGGTGTAAAATTGATCATGCATTTTAAAACCAGTTTGTTTACACATAGTCAGCCCATGGGTTAAACCAGTGGTTCTCTAACTGGGATCCCCAGACGTTCTTGGACTGCAATTCCCACAAGCCTTCATTCACCACCTGCAGTGCTGGCCAGGATTTCTGGGAGTTGCAGTCCGAGAACAACTAGGGACTCCAGTTTGAGAACCTCTGAGTTAAACAATGTTTGTGGCTGGCCAGGGTAATGTAAACAACTAGATAACTGGTCAGGGCTACTAAAGAAATCTAAAGTTGGCTCCTTCTGCCTACTCTATACTTCTGGGGCTTTTCCATAGGGAGAAAGAGTATTCTCCATATTTGTTCTAACTGGCCCACCATTTTTTTCCTTTGGAAAGAGCCCCCATGTAGGAGGGCTCTCTCCAGACAGGAGAAAAATGGTATTGGTCAGGTGCAGGCATTGATATTGGCAGGTATGGCAAAGGAGTAACCAATCTCCCCAGGTAAGTGCCTTCAAGTAGATAAACATACCCTCTCGAGAGCTGCACACTCTCTTCTTTTCTTGTTGCCTGTATTCCCCTCCTGTCCTTTTTCTTCCCCTCGCCACCCTTCCTGGTAGGATCGTCTCCCTTTAATGAGCCTTGTTACCCATTTCTCATCCTTGAGTGCCAGCCTTTTGATCCTTTTGCTAATTGTTGCTCAATTTAGAGGACAGAAATTGCTGCTCTTGCCTTTGAACATGCCATTACCTTGATATCTTCAAGGTGATAACCCAACCTCTGGGTGACAAATTTCAGGAATATTTAATTGAAGGCATAGCAGCTTCTTATAGGTTTTTTTTTTAAAAAAAAAACCCATTCGGTGGAAAGAGAAAAACAATAAAGTATTTTTTACATAGGGAAAAAAACTATAGAAATGAGAAAATACTTCACACACATTAATATGCACAGTGCACGAGTTAGTAAATTCATGACCATTCTGGTTCATAGTGCAAACCTTCTCCTCTTCCTCCTCCCCCCTATCCCTGGAGGCTGGACATCATCACAGCTGTACTGGCTTTGGATGCAGCATCTTCAAACAATGATGTCATGCTGCATCCAAACTGGACTCCCATGTTCTTCAGCTAGTACGTCCCATCACCTTCCTGCACTTTCACTCCATTTATTGTAATTGTAAATTGAATACTACTACATAGGAAGTGCAAATTCCTTGAGGATCTCAGTCCCCCCCCCATGGGAAAACTACAGTTATGAACCTCTCCAATCTTTTCTATTTCCTTTTGCAGCTGTTTGATCCAGGAAGAGTTCACAATGTCTTCCACACCCTGTACAACACATTTCGTGCCTTTAATAAAGTCTCATCTAAAGCTCCTAACATCTGATACTGGAAATACCTAACCAAGAGAACGCCATATGATTTTTCTAAAGTTCTGCTCTATCAATTGCCTTTCTTACCATGGGAGCTTTTTGCCAGTAATTTTGACGTAATTCACTAATTGCTCTTCTGTAGCCATTCCTGTAAAAATCACAACAGATACTGCAGCTCTGCCAAGTTCAAATGACTGCTTATTGTTCAGGCCAGATAGAGAACATGTAGGCATCATTTTTAGGGCCTCTGATTTTGTTCTTACTTTTAAATGCACCTTCAACAAAAAACATGTATCCACTTTTTCTAGGTATTATGAATACAATAGCCACTTTGAGTCCCTTTATCGGGAAAAAGGTGGCTTATAAATAAGAGAAGTAAATAAAAAGCAGATTTGTGTCAATAAGACATTCGCCATATTAAGGACTGGCTTCTTGCTTCGTTTTGTCTTGTCTTGTTTGGAAAGGGGAATAACTTTCTATATGTGAAATTTGTCACAACTTTTTTTGTTTGTTTTCGCTAATTGTAAAATCATGACCGCTTGGAGGTAAAATTTTGATTTATAGATATATTTTTTTTGAAACATCTGCATAATAGCAACTTAGTATGCTTGAGTGCTTTGTTATGGTTGGCTACAATAATAAACATCTCATGAGTTTTAGTTAACAGTGAATCTAACTTTCCATGGTTGTATGTAGATCTTTATTTATCTTTGGCTGCAGGATTTTTTAAAAAGCTGATAATCAGAATGCTAGTACATTTTTACCAATGTTGAAATGACAGGGAGTCTGTTTTTCCTCTGAGCACTATTTAACAGCTTGTGAAATGTGCAGCTTTAACTTCTTGGTGTGTGTTCTCTCTAATCCATGTTGCTTTTAACTCACAGGCTGGTCTCCCTCCCTAACCCCTTTATTAATGAGCGGTGGTCCTGTCCCCCTGGGTGGCAGGCCCACCCTTCTTCACCAAGCTGCTGCCCAGGGAAATGTCACTTTATTGTCAATGCTGCTTAATGAAGAAGGTCTGGACATTAACGACTGCTGTGAAGATGGCTATTCTGCCTTGTATTCTGCTGCTATGAATGGACACACAGGTAGGAGCTTGGTCAGGGCTGTCACTCTTTGAACTGGACTAACCATCAAATCCAATTAGTTACTTAAGTCTTAATGCACAATTCAGAAACTGATTCAATGGGTCTACTTTAGTAGGGGCTAACAGTAACATTTAGGCCAGCACATTTAACACTACAAGCATACATGTGTCTGCTCAGATGCAAATCCAGGGAAGCTTACTTCAGGTAAGTGGGTATATGACTACACAGCTATTAATGTAATACTTGCTGTATCCCTTGGATCTGTGTGTGGTCAAACGTTAGAGGTTAATATTAAAGGAGGACTGAAATATTTCAAACCACTGCTCACTGTGGAACAGGGCTGTTTCGGTGGCAGAACAGTGGGATCAGTGGAACCAAGAGGTACAGTACTGTAGTGGGGCCGACTCCCCTTAGCCCCGCTACAGTATCAGTGCACCCTTAAAGCAAACTGTGGTGGTCGTTGAAATTCTCAAGCAGATTTTTCAGACAGTGCAGAAGATAGAGTGAAAGAGCAAATAGGTAAGTGGTTCTGTGACCACCAGCAGAATGTTGGCCATAACCCAGTGAAAGCCGGATGGCCACTCCAGGAAGGGAGGGCAGGAGGACAAGTCTCCCCACATGGCTGCTGAGTGGCCAGAAGAGCAGGGAGACAGCAGAGCGACTGCTGCAATTGGCAGGAAGAACGAGAAGCTGGTGGCACGGCAAAACGTGAGTGGACAGGCCGGTTTCAAGGTCCAGACCTGTATTAGGCTCACCTAGGATGGTGATATTCGTATTTGTTTATGAATACGAATATCCCCATCTCTGGTAGTTTAATATCATCCAAAACAGACTAGGTGTTGTTGCTTCTGCATAGGAAGGAACCAGAGCAAGTTGAATTGAACACATGGTGAATTAGCATTGAATTGTCATAACAGCAGGTTGGGTGTGCTCATTTCATTTGTAAAATTATTTCTGAGCTGCTTTGCAGCCCCAAAGAGCTCCTAAATCCATTTAATAGTTGAAAACTACAAATATTTACAAACTTTAAAACATTCTCCTGTAGAAAAACCAATAGCAGGAGCAAACCAAACAGCTTTAGCAATCCACCTGCTAAATATATCTAACATTTCGTACCAGGGCAGGGAAGGAACATATTAATAAACAACATATGCTATTTAAGAAGTAGTGGTTACCATGAAATCCAGACTCAGCTCTCTAGCCAGTGTATAATCCCAGAAAAGTCACTGGGATTTTTGTGACACAATTGCTGCTCTGTGCTCTGCTGGGTATGACCTTTCATATTGTATGGACCAGTGCAGAACCAGACCTACTCATCCTACAGCACCACGAGCAACTAATGCTGCAAATGAGTGGTTACACCAGCAGTCGAAAGAATTTTATTTGCAGGGACTTAAGAAGCTACAGGACAGATGTTGCAAGTGCATTGACTTCCTGGGGGAATATGTAGAATACTGTGGCAGTTACAGCTTCCTAGCTCAATTTTTTTCTGGGAAATACTTATCAGCACCCCTACATAAAAGTAGTTTCTGGAGAAATACTGGGGCGGAGGGGGGTAATAGACGTATATTATTCCCATAAATATTTTTGTCCCATCACAGTAATAGGATCGGAAGTGGCCACAGCCTTTCACCCAGATCAGAGCAGACCATTAGACAACTCTGAAAAGAATCCTTGATCAGTTATTAGTAAACTATGTATTTTTGTTAGCCTTTCACCCAGATCAGAGCAGACCATTAGACAACTCTGAAAAGAATCCTTAATCAATTATTAGTAAATTATGTATTTTTGTTACACCTAGAGGACCGTACTGTAGCCCTACACCCTTCTGGCTCAGGAAAGAGCTTCTGCTCTCCATGGAGACACTTCAGAGACCAATTTTCGAGGGCTCTGACTCTTGATTGCTTCCATGGATAGTGGAAACTTTCCTCTTTAAATTTTTAACTCTCCATGTGAAGAAGTGCGACAAAATCAGGAAACGTGGGTGGAGGGGCAAGATAGAGTGCTGCCCTCTGCCTGGTAAGTATACACATTTTCTAATGATTGAAGAGGGTGAAGGGAATCTCAAAAAGCAATTGGGTAGTTCTGTAAGGAAGGCAGTAACTGAAAGGAAAAGTAATGAGAATGTGACAGATTTGCTGGGCCAGAGCAAAATCGCTCCCAAGCAGTTCAAAGTAGTTTCGACTAGAGATGGACATGAACTCAGCCCGTTTTGGTGTGGTGCACACATAGGTATTCCATGTATGCCAGGTGCTTCCCTCCCGGCCTCCTCCAGGCGATTGCCCACTCATCAGTAGCAGTGTGCTTCCCTTCTGTGACTCCTCTGCAGCCACCCACTCAGATGAGGAGGCGGAAGAGAAGCGCACTGCTGCCAGCAAGTGAGCGATCACCTAGATGAGGGAGGTGCGCTTCCAGTGGTGAGTGGGTGATTGCCTGGAGGAGGCAGGGGAGGGAAGCAGGTGGTGCCTGCAGAACACCTGTGTGGGAGTGGCACCAAACCGGACCAAACCACCAAACTGGTTTTTGCCCATCTCTCATTTGGACTAGTGCCTTTTGCCAAAAGACTGTTACTTAATGAAATTGCCAAATCTCCTTTTGCAGCCACCTGAATTAGTGGGCAGCCACACATCTAGTGACAGCAAGTTCATTGGTCAGAAAACTATCCAGGAGTCGAACATTCTTCAAAGCACTAGTACATATACAGTTCTGTACACTCTCCTTGGAATCAATTCCACTGAACTTTTTCTCCGGATATCTGTACAATCACACTAGAAAATTAGTTGTTGAATTCTTCATTTGTGTTAATTTCTGCTAAACTGGGATTTCATATTAAACTTTAGACAGAGAGAAAAAGAGAGAGAGAGAGAGAAGTTTCCTAAAATTTCCAAAGTATCTGGCATTGATTCATGACATTCTACTTATGGTAGTTGTGTGGTTTCTAAGGAATGGCTTCCATATTTCAGATCTTCTCTTGTCTTCTATATGTATTAGAATACTCTTGTGTTCCCAACTCACAGATTGTGTAAGATTGCTGCTGACTTCAGAAGCACAAGTTGATCCTGTTGATAAAAATGGTTTTACACCCTTGTGTTCAGCAGTTGCTCAGGGACATTGCAAGTAAGTAATGTACCAGTAATGTCTCCCCTTTTCCTGTTGCAAAATTCCTCATATTTATATACAACCCCTGGAACTATAATAAGGGTGATAGCAAGCTTACCCTACTAAATGGGTGTTCCTGCCTGTGTTTTTGTGTTGTGCTAGTCATTATTGTGGAAGTTGTGGTTTGACCTGAGTTTTTTGTTCATATACTTGTTATGATATTACTGGGATGTCATGCTTAAAAACAATGACAAAGAGCCTGACAGCATCTTAAAGGCTATGTCTCCGATAAGCTTTTCTGGACTATAACCCACTTCACTCAATGCACCTTCTCAGATGTTTATGAAAGATTGTGTCAAATAAGATTTGTTAGTCTTTAAGATGCTACCAGATTCTTCTCTATTCTTCCTGCAGAAGACTAAAAGTGCTATGCTCCTGGAAATACCTTTTTTTAAAAAAAATTACAGTTTTTGTATGCTGTATGCAAGCATGTTCTAGATTTTACATGCCTCTAGGTGTGCTCAGGATCTGTGCTTCAGTTGTTCAAAACTAAAAGAAGGTCTTGGTATCTTGCTGTCATCAACCTTATCTCAAAAATGGGGCTTGAAACTGATTTATGGTCCAGGTTTTACTAAAAGCCCTATCACGTGTTTCATTGAGTGCACAAATTAATACTGAATGGAAAATATATACAGCAACTGGCTGCTGATGGAGAAAATTGCATTCATAGATATTTTGCCTTTGATCTTTCAAAAGTGGCCTGCCTGCAAAAAGCCGCCTCTGTTGGACTGTAATAGGTCACAAGAACTAGGATGTTTCACTTAACTTAGTGCCTGGGGAAATTACATGAAGCGTAGGCAACTTCTGTAGGGTGTACTGTAACTAGTGGCTGACTGATGGAATGCTTAACAATTTTGAGGTGCTAGCTGCTTCCTGGTGAGAATACCAGGGTACTGTATTTTTCCTTGCTATATCATCATTCTTTTATTGTATAAAATGGCAATGTTAACATTATCTGCAAAAGGGATTTAATATTCAGCACTCCTAGCTCTGGTATGAAAATTAAGCAGAGAAGGTATTTAATTAAGCTCAAAAACAAGAAAAGTGCAATGTTTTATGCCCTTGATGCCTGGACAGATGCCTGTTTGAGAGCTTCCATGCCCAGCAAGAAAAAAAAGGTGAAGTGAATGGACATTATTTTATAGCTGTACTTAAAGTGAGAGAGATAGAAGGGACATGGTGGCACTGCGGGCTAAACCGCAGAAGCCTCTGTGCTGCAAGATCAGAAGACTTGCAGTTGTAAGATCGAATCCACACGACGGAATGAGCTCCCATCGCTTTGTCCCAGTTCCTCGCCAACCTAGCAGTTTGAAATGCAAGTAGATAAATAGGTACCACCTTGGTGGGAAGGTAACAGCGTTCCGTACCTAAGTCGCGCTGGCCATGTGACAACAGAAACTGTCTTCGGACAAACGCTGGCTCTACGGCTTGGAAACGGGGATGAGCACTGCCCCCTAGAGTCGGACACGACTGGACTAAATGTCAAATTGCATGATTCTAGTACGATGGTCTTTAAGTGCCAAATTATCAGCAAAAATGTGATCAGCACAAACTTGAACCTTGACCCTAACCCATTACATTTGGTTCGACTTGTTTCCAAGAAAAATATGCTTATGTTTAAAAGACTGAAAAAGAAGAAAAATAAAGACAACAAAAACAGTGCCACAACAAAAAAAAAATGATGCTATATTTTAATGTGAGCTTTTGTGGACAAACCCATTTCCTCAGGTATTCTTAAATTTGTAGCCTTAGTATTCTTAAGGAGATTGGGGGGGGGGGAATGTGTGTTTTGTCTTATTTCTTATTCCAGTTATTTTCATTCATCAGAGCTTGTTTTTTAGAACCTTTCATGGTGTACTATGGTCTAAATTTTGAAAAATAGGAGGTTGTGTTGATAGCCCCCCCCCAGCTGTTGCCATACAGATATTGATCTGGAGTTACATTCCACCAGGCATGGATGTTTGGATGGATTAATAGGGAGAAAAACTATTTGTTTCCTTTACTTTATATTCAAAACAGCCAGCATTCTGATTAAAAAGGCCACTATAAAATACATAAATACATGAGAAGCTAACCAACCAGCCACTTACATTTAGGTTTATGGAACATGTCCACAGATACATGGGGGTAAGCTGCATTTGAACTCAGTGGTGTTTACTTTGGGATGTTTTGGTTGTATGTGTAAACCACACTGGTTGGTTTGTTCCTTTTGTTGTGTATAAACTTTCATCTGTCTTTATCTCTGAGCTTGTGTCTCCCTTCCCCTTCCAATTCAGTTTAAAGCCATCCCAAGGTCTTGTGAATTTTATGCCAATGCCTTAGTTATGTTCATGCTGGAGGCATGCACCAAACAATAGGGAAGATGATGCAAATGAAATGTTCTTTGGGAAGAATCATGAGTGGATTCTGCTTATGCTTGGAATCTAACTGTAGCCACAATATTTAAAGCCAGAATGCAATTTTTCTCAAAGCCAGATTGATTAATGACATGCATTTTTTAAAAAATTTTGTAATATGTGCTTTGGTTTCCTTACTTTAATCAAATAGTGCTTACATTCTGCATATTCCTTCTATAGCGTATTTATGTTGGAAGCTGACATGTTGTTTGTTGCCATGTATGGGTTACATTAATGTTGCGCAAAGTCTTAGACACAAGAACATCCCCACTGAATTACAAGCGTCTCTCTTTAACTAGGCCTGGTTGCATGCCTCATCAATCCAGATCTCAATTTTATATTTGTGGTTTTGCTCTTAGTAATTGATAGGTTTAAAACCACAAGATCTGCAGCTGACAGAGTATGTTCTTATCTTTGTAACTGCCATGCTAGCAAGCAAGCAAAACGTATTTCTCAGTGGAAATGTTGACTATCTGTCATCTCTCCATCAAGTCCTGTTTAATAAACTTGTTTTGGGCCAGCAAGCCAATTCTGACTGATGGCGACTTTTCCAGGGAGTGCTCAGAACGGATTAACTATTGCCTTCTTCTAGGGGCTCCCTGGGGCTGTGCAGCTCGCCAAAGGCTACAGAGGCTAGCTCTTCTCTTGAGGGGGGGGCAGTGCCTGGATAAGAAGCCTGGATAAGAAAATCTGCCCCCTTTCAATGTTTTTACACTTCTTCCAGTTTGAATGTGGGTCACTAAGTACAAGGTTTTTAAATCTGATACCTTTCTTGTTGTAGTTTCAGTAAATATATTTAAGGAAAGGATTGTGACAAGAATATATTTTAAAGGTCAGGTCTTTTCTAGATCAAGGGTTCTTCTAACATGTTGTTGCCCATTGTCTCCCCTCCCCCACAGATGTGCAGAATTATTAATCATGTATCATGCTGACGTTAATCATGCTGCTGAAAGGGGAGAGACACCTCTCTACTTGGCCTGTGCAAATGGAAATAATGAATGTGTCAAACTCTTGCTGGAAGCTGGAGCAGACAGAAGCACAAAAACCTGTGTAAGTTTGAAAGACTATTTCTCAAAGTCAACATTTCAGGAAAACAGAAGTGAGCTGCCATGAAATGGCTCCTGTTCAGGCATATATTAATAACCTTAACTGCTGGACTGCTGTGCTTCAAAATGGCTTCCATTGAGACATTTATTAATAACTCTAACTGCTGTGCTGTATGAAATCCTTTGACATTAATGGAAGATTTCATCTTTTTTGTGGCTATAAATGCCTTCAACAATGTTCAATTATTTATTTTCCTTTTTGGATTTCTGAAATAATTATCATTCCTGCTGTCCTGCTTTACAGGCTTAACATTTGAAGTAGCATTACTCACAGCCTGTTCCTATAAGCGGTTTTCTTTTCATAGTGTCAGGATTGGTAGTGATTTTTCTTGTGTTTGATGAAAAACCTTGGACATCTTGTTTGTGTGATTCTTATAGAAAGTTCCTTGTGTCTTTCCTACAGGACCCATCATCAGAGCCAATGTGTGTCAAAATGCCATTTTTTTTATTCTATTTACTGTGGTTTTATTTCCTCATATACCTTGGTTTTATATCCTTCTAACACAAGCATACAGTCTAACACTCAATACAGTCAGCAAAAACAAGACCTGGAGCTGATTGTGGCTCTGATGATCAGCTTCTCATAGCAAAATTCAAGCTTAAACTGAAGAGAGTAGGAAAAACCACTGGGCTAGTCAGGTATAATCTAAACCAAATCCCTTCACAGTGGAAGTGAAGAACAGATTTAAGGAACTACAGTTGTGTTCAGAATTATTCAGCCCCCCCTGAAATTGAATGTTTTGGCCATTTTGACATTGATTTTGATCATTCAGTCATCTTGCTTGCATTTACATGAAAGAGGCACTTGTAGGTCAGAGAAATATAACCTTAAGTTTATAATGAAATAACCACAAATGTCTTTTCTGTGCTCACATCATTATTAGTTTTTATTCAACCCCCAAGTGACATTCAGTCTTAGTACTTAGTACAACATCCTTTTACAGTTATAGTTCCTTGTGTCTTTCCTACAGGACCCATCATCAGAGCCAATGTGTGTCAAAATGCCATTTTTTTGATTCTATTTACTGTGGTTTTATTTCCTCATATACCTTGGTTTTATATCCTTCTAACACAAGCATACAGTCTAACACTCAATACAGTCAGCAAAAACAAGACCTGGAGCTGATTGTGGCTCTGATGATCAGCTTCTCATAGCAAAATTCAAGCTTAAACTGAAGAGAGTAGGAAAAACCACTGGGCTAGTCAGGTATAATCTAAACCAAATCCCTTCACAGTGGAAGTGAAGAACAGATTTAAGGAACTACGTAGATTTGGTGGGCAGAGTGCCTGAAGAACTATGGATGGAGGCTCGTAACATTGTACAGGAGGCAGCAACAAAAACCATCTCAAAGAAAAGGAAATGCAAGAAAGCAAAGTGGCTGTCTAACGAGGCCTTACAAATTGCAGAGAAGAGAAGGGAAACAAAATGCATGGGAGATAAAGAGAGTTACAGAAAATGGAATGCTGAATGACAAAAATGGGAGGGACCTATGCAGACTTCCAAAGAATATAAGAGGGCCATCTTAAGGGCACAATGCAAAGAAATGGAGGAAAATAATAGAAAAGGAAAAAACAGAGATCTGTTCAGGAAAATTGGAGATATTAAAGGAACATTTTGTACAAAGATGGACATGATAAAGGACAAAAATAGGAGGGACCTAACAGAAGCAAGAAGAGGTGGCAAGAATACACAGAGGATTTATACCAGAAAGATCTGGATGTCCCAGACAACACAGAGAGTGTGGTTGCTGACCTAGAGCCAGACATCCTGGAGAACGAAGTCAAGTGGGCCTGAGAAAGCATGGCTAACAACAAGGCCAGTGGAGGTGATGGCATTCCAGCTGAACTATTTAAAATCTTAAAAGATAATGCGGTTAAGGTGCTACACTCAATATGCCAGCAAGTTTGGAAAACTCAGCAGTGGACAGAGGATCGGAAAAGATCAGTCTGCGTCTCAAACCCAAAGAAGGGCAGTACCAAAGAATGCTCCAACTACTGTACAATTGCACTCATTTCACACACTAGCAAGGTTATGCTTAAAATCCTACACGATAGGCTTCTGCAGTATAGTGGTGCCTCGCATAACGAGCGTTTCGCTTACCGATTTTCGCATAGCGTTTTTTTGAAATCAGCTGTTCAGCGGCTCCAAAATGGCCGCTGGACGCCCAAAATGGCCGCGCACAGTGTTTTCGCGCCCTGCCCTCGCTTACCGAGGGTGCGAAAATGGCGGCCAGATGGGGAAACATCGCATAACGGTGAGTTTGGGCCCCATTGGAACGCATTAAACGTTCCGTATAGCGATGTTTCCCCATAGCGAAGGCTAATCCGGAACGGATTAACTTCACTATGCGGGGCACCACTGTATGTGGACTGAGAACTTACAGAACTACAAGCTGGATTTCGAAGGAACAGAGAAACTAGAGACCAAATTGTTAACATGCACTGGATTATGGGGAAAGCCAGAGAGTTCCAGAAATATATCTACTTCTGCTTCACTGATTATGCAAAAGCCTTTGATTATGTGGACCACAGCAAACTATGGCAAGTCCTTAAAGAAATGGGAGTGCCTGATCACCTTATCTATTTCCTGAGAAATCTATACGTGGAACAGGAAGCAGCAGTCAGAACTGGATGTGGAACAACTGATTGGTTCAAAATTGGGAAAGGAGTACGACAAGGCTGTGTATTATCCCCCGGCTTATTTAACTTATATGCAAATTACATCATGCAAAAGGCCGGACTGGAGGAATCCTAAGTTGAAATAAAGAATGCCGGAAGAAATATCAACAACCTCACATATGCAGATGATACCACTCTGATGGCAGAAAGTGAGGAGGAATTAAAGAACCTCTTAATGAGGGTGAAAGAGGAGAGCGCAAAAAATGGTCTGAAGCTCAATATCAAAAAAACTAAGATCACAGCCACTGGTCCCATCACCTCCTGGCAAATAGAAGTGGAAGATATCGAGGCAGTGACAGATTTTACTTTCTTGGGCTCCATGATTACTGCAGATGGTGACAGCAGCCACGAAAATAAAAGACACCTGCTTCTTAGGCAGAAAGCGATGACAATCCTAGACAGTATTTTAAAAAGCAGAGACATCTCCTTGCCGACAAATGTACACATAGTCAAAGAATTGATGCTTTTGAATTGTGGTGCTGGAGGAGATTCTTGAGAGTCACCTGGACTGCAAAGAGAACAAACCTATCCATTTTGAAGGAAATCAACCCTGAGTGCTCACTGGAAGCACAGATCCTGAAGCTGAGGCTCCAATACTTTGGCCATCTCATGAGAAGAGAAGACTCCCTGGAAAAGACCCTGATGTTGGGAAAATGTGAAGGCAAGAGGAGAAGGGGACGACAGATGACAAGATGGATGGACAGTGTCATCAAAGCTACTAACATGAATTTGACTCAACTCTGGGAGGCAAGTGGAAGACAGGAGGGCCTGGCGTGCTCTGGTCCATGGGGTCACGAAGAGTCAGACACGACTAAACAACAACAAACACAAGCATGGGGTACATTGTTGCTATCTGGATCCCATCAGCTCCAGTTAACATAGCCAGTGGTCAAGGCTGATGGGACAACATATGGAGGAGCACAGGTTCCCAATCACTATTCTAACATATGCACAACCCTCATCATGGGTACTTGTTTTTAACCTGAAGAATCTTCTTGTACTTTTACCCATGTTGTAGTTGCTTTGGAGATGTGGTTACATGTTCAAAATATATGGCATAACTGTTGAAGACTGAGTAATACAAACAGCAGATGAATCCAAGCAATTTATAGTCTTTTCTACACTTGACTTTGACATTTCAGTATCTCAGATTTCTTTTCCTTCGAGAAACTTATTCATATATTGCTGAAATAATGATTTCAGTCCATGAATATTATAAAACAGTGGTTCTCAGTCTTTTCACAACAAACATGTTTCACATAGATTTGAAATTTTTAGCCCTGGCTGCCCAGTTGATTTATGATTTATACATTCAGTTCTTCCAAAAGCCTCCCTTTTATGAATTTGGAATATTGTGCTTCTTTATCAGTGATTCAGAACTCCAGGGAATGGCCTGATATCGCTGCATAGTATTGAGCCCACACTGTCAGTAGCAAAAAGGATGCTAAACTTTACATAGCAAAGGGCCGTCTGAACTGTGATGACAATAATGTCAGCAGTCAAGATGGTCTATAGGATACCCTCTAGTGTTCACTACCATTCACAAAGTGACACCGTCCTGGGGAAAATTTGAGACACTGACTCCTCTTTTCATCAGTTAACCACTTCTCACCCAAAGGCAAAGCAATTGTCAGGGCATTTGAGACAAAGACATAAAGTGTGTTTTGGAAAAAGAGGGCTTTAAAGTAATGGCCCAAATCCCAGTGCCTAGCATAGTAAATTGTATGAGAATAAACCCATTGAATCAATGTGAATTTGGTGGGTGATCTCCACCATCTCCATTGAGTCAAATGGGCCTATTATAACTGTTATGTTACCATAGTAAATTGGAGTGGAGTAGGTCCATTTGAATTGATGAAATATCCAAAGGAGTTGACTCACTAAATCCCTATTGATTCAATGGCCTACTGTAGTGCAATTTACTATGTTAAGTAACAGGATTTTGGCATTACCATAGTAAAATGGAGTGGAGTAGGCCCATTTGAATTGATGAAATCTCCAGAGGAGTTGACTCACTAAATCCCCATTAATTCAATGGCCTACTCTAATGCAATTTGCTATGTTAAGTAACAGGATTTTGGCCACTGAATATAATTCCCCCAGCTTCTCTTTCTATTCCTGTTTGCTTCCTAAAAGAAAGGCTGATTGTCCTAGGTGAAAACTGGGAACAGGATTAGTGCTGGGCCAGATCTGGAAAAGTTACTTGCTTGGATTAAACTTCTAGAATCCCCATGGCTACTGTCCATGCTGGCTCAAGGGCTGTGAAAGCTATAGTCCCAAAAAGTATATTTTCACCAAATCATAATAGACAGCTGAAAACATATTAGTATCATGTCTTTTTCTTTCTTTCCTTCGTTCCTTCCTTTTCAAAGTAAGAAAAATTAGAAAATGAAGAATATGCTTGTATTGTCTCATTTCAGTTAGGGGGCCTTCCTTCCTTCCTTCCTTCCTTTTCAAAGTAAGAAAAGTTAGAAAATGAAGGATATGCTTGTATTGTCTCATTTCTGTTAGGGGAAAATGCCCTATACAGTCAGCTCAAACAAATAGTGAACATTTATGGAGAAATAATAATAAACAAAAGATGTGAGTTAAGATGCTGGCCATTTAAAATAAATTAATCAAAGGAAAATGAACCATTGACAATGCTTTTCCAGAGCAGCTGTGCTTGCTTTGTTATGGTAATATAGGAAATACTTAGTACTGTAGGAAGCCAGATAAACCATGCATACTTAAAGAAAGCTGTCTGGAATCAGTAATAAAGAGATTGGGCATCTGACAAGGATCCAGTAATGATTATGTCAGCCTTCTGTACCACTGTTTTTATGAATTAGTTTCTTACAGCAAAACATATATTTACAGGGAATTAATTCTATTCCTATCTGACTCCTCCCCACCCTCCACTAATTCATGGGCCTTCCTCTTCTAGAATTAATAATGTGTGTATTCCACCTGTCCTCCAGTTTGCTCCAGGGACCATTTTTGACTCCTCTTCCATGTGTTCCCCTCACAACAATACTGTGAGGTAGATCAAGCTGAAACAGAATGACATAGTGAGTCTTTGTGGCTGAGTGGAGACCTGAAGTTGGCACTTCACTGCCTTAGTCCAACACTCTCTAAACACTGCACTAGTTGGGACATTCATCCAGTCTCATCCAATCTAGAGGCTGCTTATTACCCTAATGCTGTTCAATGGAAGGGCTGTTGTACTTCCTGCCCCTTGAATCATTATATATCAATACATATAGTTATCTGCAGAAACAACAGATGGTCTGCTTTGCCAGACAGTATTAAGCACTTCAGATAGTTAGCAGACTCCGGATTTAAGTAAAGTCATAAACTTTGTGCATTTCCTTTCATCTGTCTCAAGTTGGTTTGAGATTTTTGTAATATATATTTTCCTTTCTATAGGATGGCTGGACACCATTCCATGCTGCTGTGGATGCTGATAATGTTGAATGCCTAAGATATCTTATGTACTATGGAAAACCAGAAAGTGGAAACTTTAAGAATGAAGCAGATGCTAATCCATGTATCTTTGACCTGGAGTGTGAGGAAAACAGCTTTTACCATAATGCAAAGTCCATTGTTTCTGCAGATCTCATCAACCATGCTGACAAAGATGGCTGGACCGCTGCTCATATAGCAGCTTCAAAAGGCTTTAAGGTCAGTCAGGCAGTCTTATAGATTGTTTAAAGTGATGTGAGATGAAGATTAAGTTCATATTCCCTGGCTGTGTGTCTGAGAGAAGCTGATGCATTCGGGTCTGTATTTGACAAATTCATGAACAGCTTAAGGCTTTTTCTATTAGGGAACAGGATGGCCAAAGAAGTTCATAAATGAAAATATATATCTTTGTTCTGTGGGCATCAGTAATAGAACCTGAGATCATCCAGTAAAATGATTTGCTGGAGGATTTATGGAGAATATATGAAAGCCTATTTTTCAAGCAATTCATTATTAGCATATAATATTCATTGCCACAGGACATGACGGTAGCCTTTTAGCATTAGTGCACTCCTTATGACAGCAGTGTTTTTGTCATAAAAGTGGTCCCCTTTGATTGGCTCCATATGACACATCACCTACAAATGTTGCACATCTTGTGGGTTCTTTCCATGTCAGCATCACACCCCTCAACAAACACACTAGAGACCTGATGGTAGTGGCTTGAATAGCAACCATGTGATATATAGCAACAATATATTACCAGAGTTAAATTGCAGCCAATCACTTTCTGGTGGAACGTGTGCAGTGAGGGTAACACACAGACTGGGCCTTGAACGCTTTTTGAAATTCATGGAAGCTATAGCAAATGTATGAAAGGTATCTTGATAGCGCTCAGCAGTGAAAAGAGGTTGTCCCTCCTAGTTCAAATCAAGATTGCTTCTCTGCTTCCTTAAGATGTGAAAGTGTGTCCGATCGTTTTTCAGATCTGAGAGGTTGTTCAAATATCCTCTTTACAGTAGCCCCCCAGATGGTGTTTTCCAGATATGTTAAACTACAACTGGCACCATCTACAATGAGCATAGTCAGCAGTCTTGCTGGCTGGTGATGGTGGGAATTGTAGTCTAATGTATTCGGAAAATGCCAGGTTGGGAAAAGCTGCCAGACTGAGCCATGTTTAAATGGTAAATAGTGGTGTTTGCCTTCATGTGCATGATGGGAGGCCAGTTTTTAAGGTATTTTTCCTGTTCCCTATACCTGCATTTTGAAATGTTACCATTTTTAATTGATCCATAGTTTAGAATAAAGAGTCTTACAAACAAAACTGTCCCTGGCAGAAAACCAATTCTCTTAATAGATTCCCCCCGCCCATGTTTGGAAGTGCATGTTTTAAGGTCTGAAACTGCCATTCTAAAAGCTAATTCCACCCCGTCTGCCTTAGGCAGTAAATGGTTCAGTCAAGTTAATTTTGGCTCAACTTAATTCCTTCAAACCATCAAGTAATGTAGCTATTATCTTCCCAGAGCTGCCTAGAAGTCTTGTGTAGCCATGGGGGACTGGAGGCCGAGAAAAAAGATAAATGCAATCGAACATTGCATGACGTTGCTACTGATGACTGCAAGCATCTTCTAGAGAATCTGAGTGAGTAGCCGCCCTGTTATGAATACATGAAAGCCACAAATTTGATGCAGTGCCCAAGAGTTGCTGAAAAGCCTTTTACTGGTAAATGATGTTATTGGCAAGTTGTATGTTATTAAATTGCAGTCCCGCTGTCATCCCCCTCCCTCTGTATATGGGAGAGGGGTTGATGGATGCACCTTGCCAGAAAAGCTCCCTGTGTGCATTAGATACTGTAAAATTCCTCAAACTTTCCCTGAACAGTTTTACAGAAATGAACTCGACCTTTGTAAATGGGATCTAAAATTCTCTACAACTTCTTGGCTGTTTCCCATACAGCTCTTTTTCTTAGGTCCAGAGTAAGAATGGCAGAACCTGTCAAAGCCAATTTTATTCAGTTTCTCATTTGCCCTAATTTAAAGTAATTTTGTCCTGTTTCTACATCACTTGGGCATAACTTTTTTCCCCACTTTTGCACAAAGGTTTGCGTTCTTTAAATATACACATTTCACTTTTACTAATTTTTTTAAAAAAATTGCATTTTTAAAAGCAGTTTTCCTTAATGCAACACATTTTGACATTAATTTCACTAACATAGATATTTTTGTCTATACTTTTAACTAATATGTATATTTCCCTCTGCATTTTTTCATTGTAAGACTACATGCCAACATTTGTACAATTGTCAGTAATGTATATTGAAGTAGCCACATTTTTGTTCATTGATTCTTAAAGTGTGAATCAGATAAGGTTGCATGAAAATGTGAGTTAAATCCTTTTACCTTTCACATCTAGCAATTAACTTGGGCAAAGTGAGCTTTGCACAAAGCTTTTGAATGTTTCTTCTGTATTGTTCCTAGCCATGTACGTATAGCATAGATGTAGCCTAAAAACCTGTTAGGGAAATGCAGAATGCAAGAGCAATTGCATGCAGGGTTCATCCGTCCCACTGTTGGGCTGTCCTTTGTGTGCCTGGCTGCCCACCCGTTGTGAAATAAGGCATGTGAACAGATGCACAACTATTCTGACAAAGGACAGCCCACCAGGCAGGGAAAACTGCTGTGAGATTGCCCTTGAACGGTTTGCTAGTCTGCTGTAGCAAAAAAAAGAAAGGGGGGGGGGAAGCAACAGAGAATCTTGTGGTACCCAAAAGATGGCAGGGAAAACTGCTGTGAGATTGCCCTTGAACGGTTTGCTAGTCTGCTGTAGCAAAAAAAAAAAAAGGAAAGGGGTAAAAAGCAACAGAGAATCTTATGGTACCCAAAAGATTATCATATTTAATTAAGCATAAGTGTTTACAAAGGTGTTTGTCTTTAAAGTACTGCAAGGGTTTTTTGTTGTTTTTGTAGTAACAGACTATTATTTATTTCATTTGTAATCTTTTTTTTAAAATTTAAAAATAATCCTGTGGTGTGAAGTATAGAGCCTTCTCATTGGGATCACAATGGAGCCTGATGATATATGGTATGCTTTTCCAACTTTATGCACTCCATGGGGATTTTATTGCTTGGTGCCTTTTGCCTGGTTTACAACAGCAGTGCTATTTTGAAGGCATGAGTTATACCCTTAGATGAGCAGGCCCTTCACTCTCCCTTAGAGGGTCTTCTTGCATGGAAAGTAGAAGCCTCCCATAAGGGATTCATACTGTATTCTTGCAATAGCCCTCTCCATTGTGTGGTTTGGCAGAAAATCAAGAGGGGTTTGCCCTGCCACACTTGAAGATTGGATATGCTGAAACAGTGTATCTGGAGCCCTAAATTAGCACCACATGGATGTATCCCCTGGGCTCAATCTCACATGGAGCTTTAAATGGAAGCATTAATGGAGCAGTACTCTTTTACATCTGTTGAGAAGCTGGCCTGGGCCAACCAAAGGGCCTCTTAAGCTCTGCCCAAAACATCTCCTGGAGCAATCCTTATTCAGCATATTCTACTGCAAAAGTTTTCCCCAATAAAAGAAGGAAGCCAGACTTAAGCATGTTGCTTTTTTCAAATGCAACCTCATTGGACATTTGGGGAGCTGTAGCCCAAAGAAGTGACTCTTCTTAGCTTGGAGAAAGAAGATGGAACTTGCAACAGGATGTTATCAGTATAATGCTTTGTAGCCTCATTTTGCGAACCATGGGCATTTAGGATCCCATCTTACTGAAGGAGCGACGTTGGGACAAAATAGTAATACGGTCATTCAAGTGAAGCCCTCTTTGTGCCTTGTAAGGTTTTTGTTTTGTTTTGCTTTGCTTTGCTTTCTGCTCTTTCATGATAGCTGTGTAGAGAAAGACTAGAAAAAAAAACACCTCATGATGACCACAGTAACCATGTCATTGTTCTCCACCCAGAAGAGCAAGACTTCCTATTTCTGTCATAACTGCTTGCATGCATAGTACTTTGGCCAGGTTAATATTTTAACAAGAGCCATGCTGTATATAGAAGTAGTGATTGAGTCAGAGTATTCCTGAGGCATAATCACATGTAGGTCGAAACACAGGGGAAGGAACAAACAACCTCTGTGTGTTTTCCATTCCACAAAGATAATGAACAGCTAGAACAAGGAATTGGCAAAAGTGTAGCCCTTCAGAAGTTACTGGACTATAACTTACACCATTCCTCATCATTGATTATGCTTTCTTGGGCTGAGGGGAGATGTAGTCCAAGAGACACATTCAGGACCACACTTTATACTTCTCTGATCTAGAAGACAAATAATACAAGGTGGGACTAACTTACTACTTGTAACAGAAAAAAGGGGACAGGAGTAGGTTGTCCTAGTAATTTTGAAATACATAAAAGGATATCAGAAGGGAAAAGTTTCACTCCACTCACTGAGATGAGAAGAATCAGTGGAGATTGTCAGGCAATTTTAAATTAAACATGAGGAGCCAGCCTTTGAGTTTGGAACCATTCTGTTTAATCAGTGGCCCTGGAGTCTCTCTCGTTGAAGGTTTTTGTTTTGTTTTGTTTTTTTTAAATAGGGATCCTTCTGTTCCTGAGGCTTGTGTGAGGCATCTGTGATGGATATAGAATGATTGTGAATTTGGGATATTGTGTGTTTGGAGAGGCAGTTGAAGCTGGCAGTCTTATAGCCATTTCCGCTGGTGTTGCAGAAATAATTATTTAATGAATGTGTGTCTCTATGACAACAAAGCTAACACTACCATCATTATTTCTTGTGTCTTGAGTACTATGTCCAGTTCTTTTTAAGCCCAGCATTTTAAGTAGAGCACAGACAAAGTGGCACCTATCCAGAGAGGGGTAACCAGGATGATGGGAGGATCTAGAAATCAAGCACAGTGTGAAACAGTTGAAAGAGCTGTGCAAGTTGAGCCTGGGAAGACTCTGAATATTCTAAATAGACCTCATAGCAGTCTTCACATACCCACAGAAGACGGGGGAGAAACAGACCACAGGGGAAGTAGAGAATCAGTGCTGGACATTGAAGGCAAGCAGACATGGGGCACAGCAACCACTGCTAAGAAAACCTCCAGTTTGGTCTTTAATGTACTGACCCTCATCCAGTTCGTTAATCTACTCAGGTACTGGTTCATGACCTCCATATCACTGTCTCACTTGGATTAAATAAAACAGTAGGTAAAAGTAGGTATCATCCGCCTATGGATAACACTTCAAACCACATACCCTGCTAACCTCTCTCATAGGTTTCATGTAGTTATAGAAAAGCGAAAGGGATAAAATATATACCCAAAGACTGCTTAGAAGTTGTATCAGTGGTTCATTTCTTTTTTTTATTTCAGTGTCACTATGTCCTGCTTTTCTAAATTCAAACTTTCCAATTCTCTTTAAACAGATGCCCTCAAAATACCTTTATGGATTGCAGTGAGTCAGGTAGAGCCACCCTGCTGTGACACAGAGGATCGTGAAACAGAAAACACCATATGTGTGTTAAACATCCGCAAGCAGACAGCCTGGGATGATTTTTCAAAAGCAGTGAGTCAGGCACTGACAAGCCATTTCCAAGCAATCACTTCTGATGAATGGAGGAGCCTAGAAGACTTGACACTTAATAACACGGCAGAATCTGGCATTGGCCTCGCTGCAAGCAGTATATTATCCATCAAACTGGGTAACTATCATTCCTGTTACTTTGCAGAAAAACAAAAGTTTCCTGTTTTTCCAGTTATATGACAGCTGGCATGTAACTTGGTTAAGTGTGTTCAGTACTTCCTATGGCAGTGGTCCCCAACCTTGGCCTCCAGATGTTCTTGGACTACAGCTCCCAGAATCCTTCACCACCACCTCTGCTGGCCAGGATTTCTGAGAGTTGAAGTCCAAGAACATCTGGAGGCCCAAGGTTGGGGACCACTGACCTATGGTATCTTCTGGTCTCAGGCAACCATATTTATTGCACAGCATGGTGGTAGAATAAAAGGGATGTATTCAGAAGTGAAGCTCAAGCATGATTTCATATGATATGCACAAGCCTTTGTGAGCCCAATACAGTGGTGCCTCACTTAACGAGCGCACCGTACAACGACGAAATCGCATAGCGATCCCTTTTTTGGGATCGCTATGCGATCGCTCAGCGAGCTTTAGATAGGGCGAAATTCGCTTTGCGAAGATCGGTAAGCGTTTCGCTTATCGATCTTCGCAAAACGAAGCTCTGATGATCAGCTGTTCGGCGGACAAAATGGCCGCCGAAAGCCCCAAAATGGCAGTGGTCCCCAACCTTGGCCTCCAGATGTTCTTGGACTACAGCTCCCAGAATCCTTCACCACCACCTCTGCTGGCCAGGATTTCTGGGAGTTGAAGTCCAAGAACATCTTGAGGCCCGAGGTTGGGGACCACTGACCTATGGTATCTCCTGGTCTCAGGCAACCATATTTATTGCACAGCATGGTGGTAGAATAAAAGGGATGTATTCAGAAGTGAAGCTCAAGCATGATTTCATATGATATGCACAAGCCTTTGTGAGCCCAATATATGTAAAAAATCCTTTCTCCTGTGCAACCTATGATTCACAAATGAAAGTATCAGGACACCTTCAAGACGTAATGGATTTGTTTCTGCTCCAGATGGGTCTGAAGAGATTGCAATCCACAGTTTCGTATTGAAATCAGTTTGTTAGTTTTAAAGGTGCTCCTGTGCAACCTATGATTCACAAATGAAAGTATCAGGGCACCTTTAAGACGTAATGGATTTGTTTCCGCTCCAGATGGGTCTGAAGAAATAGATTGCAATCCACTGTTTCGTATTGAAATCAATTTGTTAGTTTTAAAGGTGTCACAGTACTTTGAGGGTTTTTGTTTGTTTTTTATTTTGTTGTTTCTGAAACATACTAATGCAGGTGTCTCTGAAAACATTTTGACTAGAGCTGACATTTTATCATAGTTCCTAGTTCATTCATATTGATAAGCTGGAAATGGGAAGGTGTGGAGAGTAAATCTGAACAATCCTTCCTGGCTACATGGGAAAAGGGGGGGGGGGTCAAAGTGTTACGCTAGCTTCCAGGGATATATCTGTGACGTGCTAAATCCTGACTTGGCACTGTGTGAAAGCTGGGACAATGGAACCTCTTCATCTTGCATCAGAGAGAGGGAATCTGTGGTCTTCTAGTTGTGATTGTAACTCACATAGGTCCTAACCAACATGGTCAAAGATGAGGTATAATGGCAGTTTCAGTCCAAGAAAAAAAACAGAAAGGCCTCAGATTCCTTGTCTTTGTCTTCCAAAGGCCAAAATCAAGCTGGTAAGGTACTTTCAGGGAGTAAACAATTAATATCAGATGTCTTATACTAAACCTCAGAGTAAGGTTAATAAATTTACCTTTTCATGTAAAATTACAGAACTGCACATTAATTGAGTGACACAGCTGGCCACATCTGCAGATTGTTTCCCAAAGAATTCTCTATAACCCACTGTTACAGTAAAAGGAAGACACAGCCTTGAGTTAACAAGGGCTGAGCAGGGTCATTATTGACATGACCTGGGTTTTGCCCCAAAGTTCACTACACTTGTGGTCTCCAACCAGTCTCTTCACAAAGAATGCATCATTCAGATTTTTTTGGACTTCAGGTTCCAGAATTCTCTATTCTAGGAGTTCCATCCAACAGATCCGTATCTACAGACACCTGAAAGTAGCTCACTTGAAGGAGCCGGAATTCTTTCTGGCCTAGGTTCCTGTTGAAAAAGGAAGCTACCCTGGTATTTGCCAGGAATTTTCACCTTCTTCCTTTAAGTGAGCACGTTAGTCACTCATATGTGATTCATGGAGACCGTAAAGAAGGCAGGTTGTTTACCTGTTACTGTATTTCTTCAAAGTATCATCTGTGAATTTCTTCATTCCACCCATCATCCCCTTAGGATATCTGTCTGTCAGGTCAGTCAGATGGTATACAAATTGAACAAAAAAACAAGCAAACACATCTGAATGGAGGTAGCAGCCTGGAAGCAGCTCCATATGTTTGCTGTAGAAGATGGGTGGGGCCTCCACCAGAATTTTCATCCACTCTAGAATGTTTTGATGGTGGCTGTGCAGAGGTGCAAGACCTATATGTGTGAATTCACAGACAAGCATTTCAAGAAACATAGTTACAACCCATTTTTCCAAGCTGTGATTTAAGCTTCCACGCTGTGATTTAAATTTTACAGAGGAACAAATATGCTTTCTTAGGCATCCTTAGCAGATAACATAATAAGCTTTTCAAAGATAATACCCTTAGTTTGAAAGGAGATTAGATCCCAGGAAGCCAACAAATTGAGGGATTTTTTTGTTCTTGTTAAGCACAGACCTTGTTTTGGAGTTTAAACATGACATACAATCTTCTTTTTGAAAATTGTGAGGTAAAACCTTCAGAAGCACTGCATCCTGTCACCTCCTGCTAAATCTAAATGTATCTGATGTGACATGTATACCAACCAGTGAGTGGAGAAAGTGGAGATACTGGACTCTGTGTAGCCCTCAGCAGATCCTAGTATGGCCCTCAGACCAAAAAGAAATCGTACAGTGGTGCCTCGCTTAACGATTTTAATTGGTTCCAAAAAATTCATCGCTATGGGAAAACATCGCTAAGGGAAATGCGTTCCAATGGGAATGGATTGCCGTCCTTAAATGAAAATCGCCATAGGAAACATCGCTAAGCGAAACACAGTTCCCCCTTTGGAATGCATTGAAACCTTTTCAATGCATTTCAATGGGGGAGAAAAAAATCACCAAAAATTCGAAAAGAGTCAGAACGAAGCCAAATTTGGTTAACAAAGGGTTTATTAAGTGCACTAATGATTTCAAGCACTCCAAACCCTTTTTAAACAGTCTAACACCTTTTTAAAATAGCGAAAACGGAGCTGTCAAAACCATCGTTAAGCGAAACAGGGGGACCTAAACTGTCATCGCTAAGCGAAGCAAGGTCCCGAACATCGCTATGCGAAATTCCTCCATTGGAAACATCGCTAAACGGAGTGCAAGATCACTCCAAAAACCTCATCGCTAAGCAAATACATCATTAAACGAGGCAATCGCTAAGCGAGGCACCACTGTACTTCAATGACAAATTGCTCACTTGTGTATGTGGCAGAGGGGGGGGATTTTCCATGTGAAGGTGAATAGCTAGAATAAGTAAAGTGAGATCCTCTAGACCTTGTTGGCATTTAACAACCCAGTTGCAGGCTCAAAATAGCCTGTTTTAGAAATTAGAAGTGATCCTGCAACCCACCAAGGTCCTGAGAAGGACAAAAATAGCCACTGTACCTTCAGAGGTTGCTCACTTCTGCTATAACACTATGCAAGCCTTTTTTGCATACGTGTTGGTTTAAAACGGTGAGGTGGTTGTGGCCATGCAGATAGGCTCCAGCTCCACCCAAGCAAGATCGCTGCATGCTTAACAGTCTTTTAAATCATTGTGCAGTTGGTGCGCAAGTTTAAGAAGTGCTGTGTAAAGTCCCTTTGGTTAAACATGTTGACATGTTTCTCATTAGAAAGCCTGCCTCTTCAGAGTTCTGATCATAGGAGCTCTGGAAGTTCATTCTGCTTTTCAGACCTTCAAGTTGAATACACAAAAATCTGAAAGGCAGCCTGATGCACAGAGACGTTCAAAGCGGACATTCCCCCTTGCTCTTTAGCACAGTAAAAGTATTTTCAGACTGGCATGCCCTGCTCTCTGTGTGTCCTAGGATGCCTCTTACCTCCTTTTTCTCTTTTCAACAGGCAATGTTTCATGGTCAATAGGTCAGACCTTTCCCCTGCCCCCTTGGGAATTTCTGAAAAGGAACCAGGTGGAACATATAATCATATTTTTGCTTGGTAAATGCAAAATTTGCTCCTATTTTGATATTACATGGTGCATAAGTGTTCATTACAATGGAAAGGGAAAAGATTTCTACTAGTTATCACTTTGGTTACACACTTACTAAATGTTGAAGTCTGATTAATAAAGAGGTCTTCTTCTAATCTTTAGAATATTTTCTACAAGGGCTAGTTTTCAGTGATGTGTTAGTGTTATCCTTCTACATTCTGGTATCTTACTAATTAATTACAATCAATAACTTACTCATTATTCTTAAGCAAGCTTAAGCCATATTATTATTGTTTCTCAGCTTCAGTATTATACTCTTCAAAACAGAAGTATATTAATGTGTATATAGTACTTAACTACATTAGGATGGGTTGTGGCCCATAATTTCCAGTAGCATTTCTCACTATGAGTAATGATAAGACATTATGGGAATTGTAGTCCAAAACATCGGAAGAGCCAAAACTTCCGCATTTCTCTACCTGATACTACATAAATGTTGAGTGTTATTTTACTGACAGTATTTTGATTTTTACTTTTCTAAAGAACAGACAGAATACCTCAGAGCAAAACTAATGATCTTGAGCCTTATAGCCACATCAGGGGGGTATTTTCAGGGAAGGGGTAGCTAGAAAGGGAAGGGATAAACCTTTTCTTCCTTTGTGTTATAATCCTGAAAACGGTCCCCTCTCCTTTGCAGCTCTAATTAAAGCAAAAGGACAGACATTAGGTATACTGAATAGCTTGGCTCATAACCATTGTTGAGCTCAAGATTGTTATTATGGTACCTTTTGTCTTAAAGGTCCCCAAGAAGGCTGTCTGCACAGTGTGAGTTATGCATCTATGATCCATCTCCAGACATTGCAGAATTACCTCCGGCTGGTAAGAATTAGCTTACCTTTTGCTTAGTAGCTTCATATCTGTCTACCACTTACATAATGATATTGTTTTTGCCAACAACTATTTAATCCTCAGTGGTATAATTGAAAGGGGAGCCCAGTTGCTGATCCCAGGGTGAACAAATTTCCAACTTACAGGATCTGCTTTGATTTCCCCCCCCCCCAAATCCCAAGATCCAGTGACCAAAGTCCAATCCAAGAGACACACACTTCAATAATTCAAGGATAGGAATTTGTTTTGAGTCCCAGAACTGATTAGAACTTTCAGTCCTTCCATAGAGAAAAAAAAACTAAGCAAGGTTTCATTGTATCAGCAGTATAATTGAGCAGCAAGTGAATCTTTTGGTTGCTGCTGTTCTTAAGCTGTTGGGAGCTGTAATTCTTACTGATCTGCTTTATATCACAAAGAAATCTACAATGGATCTATGCCTACCTTCTCCCTCCTTCTGGCTTTACCACTGTAACAAAACTGACTACCTCTTCTTCTTCTTCCTCTTCTTCAATAATAGCGAAAATTCACCGTGAAGTGAGATAAAAACTTTTATATTAAATCTACTCTTAGCCTTTAGCTTTAGGTTTTTCCACTGACTCTTGTTTATTATGAGCAGTTGAGAGTAAATTATATCTGGTCCTCCCTGTGTTATGACATCTGGCTAGGTAGACTTTGTTTTCCTCACTGGTTACATTCTGTTGTTTGGAAGAATGAATTAGAAAAGCACTCACCCAAGGAATGAAGAAGTAGCATCAGCAGTTCTGTAGCACAGGACATTTTCCCCCAGTTCTTTGGCTTGGAAGAACACAACTCATAAATCTTTGAATACTGCTAGTTTTCCCCTGTGTGTGCAAGATGCTATTATTTTCTGGAGGCTACAAAAAGAGCCCCCTAGATCAGACAGAGGTTTCATATGGTCCTGCATCCGGCGATGCCCCAGCTGGGAACTAACCCACCCCTCCAAGTGGATCATAAAGGCAATAATCCCAATTCTGTAACCTCCACCACCCTTCCTATGAACAAGGAAGCTTCATTAATGTCCATGGCTAATAGATATTGATAGAGCTATTTCATAAAGCAGGGGAGGGGAACTGTTCCCCTCCCAGATGTTGGTGGACTGCAACTCTCATTATGCTGAACCATTGACCATGTTGGTTAGAATTAAGGAGGTTAGAGTTCACTAACTTCTGCAAGACCAAGTTTTCAGGACTAGTTCAAGGTCATGGCACTGGGTGATTTCTATCCCGTCACATGGCAGTTAAGCTGTGAGGTGCCATTGAGGTCCATTCTTTTCCCCCATGGTGTTCAGTATATATATGAAATTACTGGGAGAGATCATTCGAAGCTCTGGGGTTGGATACTATTAGTACACTGATGATACACAGCTCTGCTTTTCCTTGTCAGTGGATTTGGGTTAGTCTATACAGGTTCTGAATTGCTGCTTTCTATCCCGTCACATGGCAGTTAAGCTGTGAGGTGCCGTTGGGGTCCATTCTTTCCCCCATGGTGTTCAGTATATGTATGAAATTATTGGGAGAGATCATTTGAAGCTCTGGGGTTGGATACTATCAGTACACTGATGATAGGCTGCTCTGCTTTTCCTTGTCCGTGGATTTGGGTTAGACTATACAGGTTCTGAATTGCTGTGTCACATGGCAGTTAAGCTGTGAGGTGCCGTTGGGGTCCATTCTTTCCCCCATGGTGTTCAGTATATGTATGAAATTATTGGGAGAGATCATTTGAAGCTCTGGGGTTGGATACTATCAGTACACTGATGATAGGCTGCTCTGCTTTTCCTTGTCCGTGGATTTGGGTTAGACTATACAGGTTCTGAATTGCTGTTTTTGAATTATGGATACAGAAGCACAATATCGTGGCACAGTGGTTAAACCGCTGTACTGCAGCCAAAACTGTGCTCACGACCTGGGGTTCAATCCCAGGTAGCGGCTCAAGTTTGATTCAGCCTTCTATCCTTCCGAGGTCGGTAAAATGAATACGCAGCTCGCTGGGGGGGGGGCAATGTGTAGCCTGCATAATTAACTTGCAAACCGCCCAGAGAGTGCTTGAAGCGCTATGGGGTGGTAGATAAGCAGCAGTGTGGGGTTTTTTGTTTGTTTGTTTGTTTGTTTTGCTTTGGATGGGGGCCGGTCGTCTGAGGCTGAATTCCAAAAAGACAGAGCCATCTTTGTAACTCATGACTCAGGTGAGCACAGTGGCTTAGAGCATCTCAGCCATCTTTGACGGGCTGTGAGCATTCCTGGACAGGAACACTAAGACAGAGCCATCTTTGTAACTCATGACTCAGGTGAGCACAGTGGCTTAGAGCATCTGAGCCATCTTTGACGGGCCCACCAGTTGTGAGCATTCCTGGACAGGAACACTGTGGCTACAGTAGTTCATGCACTGGTAGCCTCCTGGGAAGACTACTGTAATGTACTTTACATAGGATTGCCCTTGAAGATGACATGGATGCTGCAGGAAGTGTGGCAGCTGGACTGCTATTAGTAACACCTTTCACAGTCCATATGACATCATTTCTGAAAGACTTTTACTCACTGCCAATACACTTCCATTCTGAGTTCAGGTTGTTGAGGATTACCTATAAAACCATAAACAGTTTGGCACTGGTTACTTGAGAGAATCCCTCTCCTTATACACAGCTGCCCAGTCACCAAGATTTGCTACAAGGGAGGCCTTCTGCGTATCCCACTATAGAGAACAATCCACTATGTGTATACAGAAAGGGGAGTACCTTCTTGGCTGTAACACTCCAGTTATCAAATGCTGTTCCCTCAGAGGCTCCTCGACTGACACCTATACTGACTTCATTTCGGTGCCAAATCAAAACCTGATTATTCATCCAAGCCTTTAGGGATTAAGGTACTAGACTCTGGAGGCTTCCTTGTCGTTAGTGATGTCAATGCATCTGCGTAGTAGAGTGGTAATATCGACCTAAATAAATAAATAAAGCAAGAAGAAAAAGCAGGCATTCAAATGTTGGTATCCCTCCAGATGTCGTAAGATATTGCAGCTCCTTAATCTTTGGTTGTTGACTATACTGGCTAAAGCTAAAGGGAGTTGGAATCAAACAATATTTATAAGCCGGCCACAGAGACTGGCGAAACGTTAGGAAGAACAACCTTCAGAACACGGCCAAAGAGCCTGAAAAACCCACAACAACAATATTTAGAAGGCCACTACTTCCCTGGTCAGGCCTCTTCCTAGATCACACTGTATCTGAAGTTTGCTCGATTGTGAATGTTGTGCTTGGAGGACATCTTAAAGAATAGAATTATCAGGAGCAACAAATTAAACCTTCAAAGGACCATGACTATTACAGTGGCAGAAAGCTAGCTCACCCTCTTGGAATTCAATTTGCAAAGTTATCTTCAGAACCTTCTGCAGGTAATTATGTTGCCAGGAAACTGAAACCAGAGCGCTAGATTTCCTCTGGAAACAGCAGCTTCAAAACATGAAGGCCTTGAAAAGAGATCCTTTGTAGTAACTGTATCTAGACACACTGATTTTCTTTCTTTTTTGAAAACACATTATCATGGTCAGGATCTGAAGGACTATACGACATGTGCAGGAGGTCTCCATAGCTCTTGGAAAAGTACTTTAGATATGCAGTGGAAGAGCACCAGGGGTGTTACTGTGTGGAGCTAAAGCAGTTCCAAGGTTCCTGGCCCCCGCTGTAAATGGCATTTAATAGTGCATTACAAGGAAGGTGGGAGGGAATAGTTTAATGGACCTTTTGCCAAGGCTAGCTGTGGTAGAGAACGCATGCTAACAATCACTAATATCATTATAAGGGGCCTCCATCTTTCTTAACTTTTCAGGTGAGGAAGATTCTATTTTACGAGCCCAAAGCATGAACCAGTCAAACTGATTTAGCATTTTTGAAAGGAAAAAGAAAAAGCTGCTGGCTGGCAGCAGTTCCCTCTCCCTTCATATGAGTACCTGTGGGAGATGATAATGATCCATTTTTATAGAAGTGACTTTGGTGAGAATAAGCTCCGTTAAGATTGGTAGCACTTTTGAGTAAATAATGTTTACAGAACAATAAGCACCTGCTTTGATAATGATCCATTTTTATAGAAGTGACTCTGGTGAGAATAAGCTCCATTAAGATTGGTAACACTTACGTTTGAGTACATAATGTTTACCGAACAATAAGCACCTGCTTCCATTAATTTTAAAACAATCCTCTAGAAAATGAATATCAATTTCGTGTTTTTATCCATTTGTTGTTTTTATTTGCTGTCATGTCACCTCTGAATTACGGCAACCCCATGAATGAGTGCTCTCCAGAATGTCCTGTCCTCAACCGCCCTGCTCAGGCAGTCCATCTCATATTTTATCTTCCTCTTTTCCTGCTGCCTTCCACCTTTCCCAGCATTATTGTCTTTTCTCCAGATAATTCTGTCTTATGATGTGCCCAGAGTAGGACAATCTCAGTTTCAACATTTTTGCCTCCAGAAATTGTTCAGGCTTCATTTGATCTAGGACTGACTTCTTTGTCTTTCTGGTAGTCCAAGGCAGTGGTTCTTAACCTTGGGTTACTCAGGTATTTTTGGACTGCAACTCCCAGAAGCCTTCACCACCAGCTCTGCTGGCCGGGGTTTCTGGGAGTTGCAGTTCAAAAATACCTGAGTAACCCAAGGTTAAGAACCACTGGTCCAAGGTATCCACAGAGCTCTCCTTCAGCACCACATTTCAAATGAACCATTTTTCCCCTTTCAGTTTCCTTTACTGTCCAGCTTTCACACCTATATATGGTGTTTGGAAATAACAACAGTGTGGATAATTTTTGTCTGTGATACATCCTTACACTTGATCTTTTATCCGTAGGTTGAACAATACAGAAATATTATCTTCCATGGTCCAGAAGGGAGTTTGCAAGATTATTTGGCATATCAGATTGCCCTCTGTCTAAAGGTAGGAAGATACAATGCTGCAATATTTGCTGAAAAAAAGGAAGAACATATGTTTGCTAAATTTGTGAACTTTTAACACAGCACAAGCAACTGGCTGCTGGATTTGGCTGTGAAATAGTCAGAGTGAAGATAGACGCTGATTTCAGCAAGGAGCAACTTGCAGAATTATTCATCAGAAATAGTAAGTTTCTGTTGCTAAATCACTCAAGACTTCTAGAAAACTTAAAGACTAACACGCTTATTAGCACATAAGAGGCTCTAATAGATATTGCCCATTCCTTCAGTGTTTGCTACTACTTTGTAACAGAAAATTCCCTAGTTCTGTTATGTGGGCTTGAAGATTTGGTGCTTCACTTGAGATCATTTAGCAAGGACTTTTTGGTGGTGCCACGCATTTCTGTCACAAAATCTTCAATTGTGGTTATGTGCTGTCAACTCAGAACTGACTTATAGTGACCATAATAGGACTTTCAAAGTGAATGAGACATTACTTACTGGTTTTACCAGTTCCACTTCCCCAATGAGTTTCGATGGCTGAGTGGGGTTTTGAACCCTGATCTCCAGCATCCTAGTCTATCACTCTGTCCACTACACCACACTGGGTATTATGGTACCTTAGTTTTAGTCAATGAGGTGGCTGAAGGTTTGTTCCTCTTATAGCAGTCACATAGCGAAGAGAGACACAACAGGCTGGGGGGAGTTTGAGGAAGCTATTTTTAAAAGTCCTCAAAGTGGGCAAGAAACCTCAATTATGGTGCCAACTAAAATTACGAAAAGCCGCCCCCCCCCAACAAGTCATAGAAATGTGCCTGCTCCCAAAGATGTCTGTGGAATGCCAGGCTGACAGGTTCAACCCAGCTTAGTATATGCTAAGCATCTGAAACAATGCAATGATCAGCTTACCAGAGACAAGTATATGGTATCTGAAACTAGCTGCACTGACCTTCTAGAAGTGGAAGTGTCCCTGCTTTCCTTGTCTACTCAGCTCAAGAGTTCAACTGTTCTGTAAAATGCAATGTTGAAAACTGCTAGAACAGAATTCTGCTGGGATTTGTGTTGGATTATGGACTTGGACATGTTGGTTTCTGTATCTGTCTTTCTCTATCAGTAGTTAATCAAAATGGCAATAATTGATATTGCATTTATTGTATTTTAATTGTTGTAAGCTACCCAGAGTGGGTGGCATATAAGTTAAATAAATAAATAAATATTTCACTTAGTTGTGGAAAAGGAGGTGTTTATCTTCTGTTTAATCATGGTTAAGAGATGGTCCATCATTAGACTTAGTAGCTATCAGTGTTTTGTAATTCAAACGTTCTCCCCCTTGAACCATGAAAAAACAGCATGAAAGCTTCTGTTTGTTTGTACCCTTCAGTTGTGTTGAGCTAGGACTCCATTCGTCCCCAGCCAATATGATCAGTGGCCATTCTGGCTGGGGATGATGGGAGATGTGGTCAGGCAGATCTGGAGAGCATCATTTTGGGGAAGGCTAGGCTAAACAAATGCTTGTGTAAAATTCACCCAAAAAAATTCTGCTAGTCACAATGAGCTCCTTGTATTTACAGCTTGTCTGATCCCAGTGAAACAGCCTTCTGTAAGCAGCAGGGTCATTGTCATTTTAGAAAATTTGGAGAGAGCTTCTTTATCAGAATTGCTAGGGGAGTTTCTTCAGCCTCTTGAAAATCGTGGCTCCGATAATCCCTGCAATGTAAAAAAAGGTACAACATTATCTTCATTCCATTTGGATTTTCTGTAATAACTAGTTACCTTAAAAATCTATAAGTGAAACATTGCATTTTCTTGTGGCTTGTTTCATTTAAATCCATCTATATACAGCAACACATAATACATTTCAATGGCTTTTCATTTTTATTGTGATTCCTTATATTAGAACACTACTCAGTTGATAGAAGTGGGTGTCTGGATTATTTCAGAATGTTTCCTTTTTCTCCTTTTAAACTTTTTAGCTGGTGGGGTAACTGATGCTCATTACTTTCACGAGAATTGCTTTCTTCTGGGGACCATTGCAAAATCTCGGCTTCAAGGCTCTGACCTGATGGTTCAGCAACATTTCCTCTGGGTTCAGCTAAGATGGGATGGAGAACCAATCCATGGTCTCCTGCACAGGTTCTTACGAAGAAAGGTGTTAAGTAAGGTAAGTGGGAACAGTACATGCTTGAATTATCCACCACAAATTATGTTCAACGTGGATTGTTCCAACACTGTAACAATAAATTAGAGAATAGTGGTTCTTCCACCTTGAAGGACAAAGAGGGCAATCACTGAATGGTGGCAGAAATCATTCTTCACAGATGCAGCGAACTAAATTGCTTCTTTTTCACTTGAAGCCAACGGCTTTGATTTGGGACAGAAGCAACCAGAGTTGGCATATTATGGTCTTGTCTAGGAACCAGCCTCAGACCAGTAACTTTCCATACAATATGCATAGCTGCCAATTAGCTTTTGAATAGTTGTGGATTATGGGTGGCCAGAGCTGTCTCTGCAGCATTAAGGAATTATTTTACATCTGTTCCATTTTCCCCCATAAAGGATTCCAGGAAATGTGTCACTGCCTCTGTTCCTTTTGGTTTCCATTGTGGTGGTGGAGTTTACCACCAGGCATTAACTCAATAACCTGTTGCAGTGCAGAAAATTTTGTTTTATTTTATCATCTATTTTGCTGACATTAGGCTTTGTTGGAGTATGGAGAGCTCCAAACCCTAGTGCCTAGTTAGTGAGAGATGGGGCATCATCTTTTCCCTGTCAAAGTACAGTCATAAATCACTGGTGCTGAGTGGGATCAGTGTGATTGCCAACATCTGGAATCGAAAGATACTCATATCTCAGCAATGACTGGGATAGATTTGGCTGACATGACTTTTCCCCCAAATGGCACCTTAGAGATACTTCTTTACTGTACATATATTAAGAAAGGACTCACAATTCATACTGATATAGAAGCAACAGCCCTAAGGTTGTACATGAAAGCTGCTTACAAAATTATGTTCTAATGGTTTTAAAAAATCTGGGCTCTTTTCGTATCTGCACTTTGCCTTTGAAGTATTCAAAGCAATCTGTATGAAGCATTATAATAGATATTTAAGGTGATCTAAGAGAAAACTGGCTGGCTGGATAGCTCAATGAGTTAGGTATTTGGCTGCAGAGCCAGAGGTTGGGAGTTCAGTTCCCCACTATGCATCCCCAGAAGTGCTAGCCTTTATGGCCTTGGGCAAGCTGTACAGCACTGGGATGCGCCTAGAAGAAGAGAATGGCAAACCACTTTTGATTACATTCTGCCTAGAAAACCCTGAAAAGAGTTGCCATCAGTCAGAATCAACTTGATGTCACATAATTATTATTATAAGAGAAAACTGCCTAAGGTTGAGAGTAGAACAGAAACATCCTGAATTTCAGTCCAGTTTCTTATAGAACTATTGTGCAAGGTAGTTAGAGATGCCATGGAAATTTATATTTTTTGGGTGAGACACAAGAGCACTTTAGACTTATAATGCTTGCATCAAATACAAGATGAGCATCCTAATACTCTATTTCTTCTTAGCCTTGAATTTTAACACAACCCAGAAGAAAATCCAGCTTTCCCCCCCCTTCCAACCCCAGTCTGACCAGCCACCAATCCTCCTTTTCACCAATCCTCTTACTTGTCTTCTTAGCTATAGCTTGGTGCTCATTGTCATTTCTTGGGCAGAAAGCACAGCCACCAGTGATGGGCAGAGCCTGACACACTCAAGATGTGCATGCCATCCCAATAGGAAAGCCAAGTAAGCACATTCTCACATGTATGCATACAGAGGCAGGCAAGTATTAATGAGATACTGCCTCATCCCTCTCTCATTCACTTCGTTCACTTCACAACTCAGCTGAAGTTCAGAAAAATATGCTGTGCCTCCAAATTAGAAATGGTCTTACCTGTATCTGATTTCAAGCTGGATAGTTGACTTGCTCACTTACTTTCATCCTCTTACTTTCTCTCCCGCTCTCCCTTTTCTTGCACACATACATTTCTATCTTGGCTGAAATCTTGTTGCTCATTGTAGTAAGTTGCAAATAGAGTAGGTTCATTGAAACACCACATTAGGTGAATGGGGAAATTTTCCATTGAAATCCAAGTCTTTGTGTCAAGCTTGGGAAGCTTGAAGTGAGGAAGGAGTGCTTTGCAAGATGACCTTGACCTGGGGTGGGAACTGCCCATCATCAGCACGTCTGTGGATAGACATGTATGGATAGACAAAACACAATGAACGTTAGGCACTGTGGTGTTCTAGAGGGGGTGGGAAGTGCCTAGGTCAGTGATAACTTGATTCTTGTCTATTGTTTTAGAGTGCAATCCCAATAAACTCCTTCAGCCTGGCTAATGGTTTTAAATTATGAGGGATTAAATTTGAAACATCTGGAAGGTACCAGATTGCCCATCCCCACTCTAGACAGTGTTGGGCAATGTCTCCAAAGCCAAAGTGCTCTCTAGGAATATGTGGTGGGAAGAGATTGTTGCCCTGCAAAGCAAAGCCTCTTACATTTCTTTGAGATAGGGGCAATGAGCATGCATTGTGCAACATAAACGGATCTGTTTAATTTTAAAAAAATGCATAGAATACCCAAAAAAGAGGGTTACCTTTGTGCCAGCTTTGATGTATTTTGAACACAAACCTGCACGTCCCTGATTATGATCATACCTCCTTTAAATCCCATTTCAGCTAAAGTTCCACACAACAGAATCATTAATGAAGTACTGAAAAATAAAGGTCTTTCTACAGCTGGTCTCTCAAGTCTGTCTGCATGCTATAAAGCACTGCTTATAATGAGATTAGGAAGAACATGAGTTCATTCTTATGAAAGGATTTCCTTTTTAGCTCTTGCCTCAAAGCACAACATTATCCCTTGACTGAAAAGCCTGTGTTTGGTTCTTCTGTCTTATTCCAAGCTTTGTCTCCCTCTTCAATAAATGCCTGAAGTGCTCTCCATTTTCTGCAAGTATTTTTTTAATTTAAAGTGAGCAAAATGGGGAGAGTGGTATAAAAGTGCCAATAGAGACTGAGCAAATTAGGAAACTAGCACAATGAAGATTGAATGAATAATTTTAAGTCATTGATAATAGCAGCTGGCCATCACTGTGTGGGAATTGTTATTACTTGGCACTTTCTTCTTGCAGTTGTTACAGAACAAGGAGATCCTAGTTTTGAAAAGACAGAAGATTATTTACATGGAGAACAAATCTGATTTGGGGTTAAAGCTAATTGAATCATGCACTGGAATTTCCTCTCAAGTTGATTATGGGTAATTAATTAGTATCTTGCCAGGATGAGAAATGTTGAATCTCCATTGGCAATATTTTTGATAAACATGAATGAGTTGGTATCGCTCACTGTTAGGCTTTTAAGATTAACCTGCCTGTGTTGTAACAAAAATACTCCAGGTCTCTACAAGTTGGGGGGGAGCAAGCAAAGTGTCATGAGGGACTCTCTCTTAGCTTAATAGAGATTAGAGCAGAAGAGTGCTCCAAGCAAAGCTCAAGGCCTGGGTTTTACTGCCTTTTTATTCCCTCACAGTACCCTAGAGTAATGCTGTATGAGAACTTTGTGACAAATACGAAAGGGTGGCGAGACTTAAAGGGAGGAAAACAGGGCCGGCTAAACCCGGACATGGTCCTGAAGTCCATGCACATGCTAAAGATTTTCAGATGATGAGTCTTATCTTGTTAGTAGCTCTGTTTTCCACATCTTCAGATTTCAGTGGCAACTCATCTTGTAGACGAACTCATTATAGAGAGGAGGAGCTTGCTCACTTTCTCAAACAAGATTTTTCAGGATGATAGCACATGCCATACTGCACAACAAATGCAGTTCTGATTTGTCCATATCTGCTTTTAGGCCTGTCTCAGCCTAAGCCTCAGGACCAGCGCTACCGTTGGAGGCACCGAGGCAGCCATCTCAGGCAGCAACTGCTGGGGGATGGCAGTGGCATCTCCCAGCTGTTCCTCATGAGCCCCCCCCCCCGGCTATTCTCTCTCTCAAACGAGAGGGCTGTGTATGCCACACAGCCTGTCCTGTTCTCACTGAACTGGCCTGCTGCCCTTAGATATGACATGGACTTATCCATGGCCTGTGTAGAAGGAAATTCCAGATGTCAGTGCCTTCAGCTTCTAGACATGGAGTGGAGGTACCTTGGAGATTCCACATTTTAAAGATGGTCTCTTTCAGTCCTTCTTTGAGCTCTGGATGTTGTTTCCACCTTCCTTTGTACTTGCTCTGATGTGAGGACGCAGAAGATCTGAGTAAAATATTTCACAGCTCAACCATGTGAGCACCATGTTCATTTTCCCAGTCACAGGTGGAGCATTTTCACAAGCTATGTAGTAGTCTCAACTTGTAGCCCAGTGACATTAAATGTTAATGGAGAAAAAGGATGCTATCCCGTATGTCCCATTCTTGAAATCATGATGTGCAGCAGTCGTGTTCCCCAAGCTTGTCTTAGTAAGATGGTTTAAGCAAAAGCATCTGCACTTTGAAGGTTATCCTTTCTGCAAATATAATTGCCTCTTGCTCTGTGTAAATGTTACACCTTGTTTCCTCCTGAGCTTGCACGAAGGCTGCATCGCTAGCATCTTTATAATGGTTCTGCTGGGTGTTAAGCAGAAAACTCCTGAGCTTGCACGAAGGCTGCATCGCTTTCATCTTTATAATGGTTCTGCAACATTGAACAACAATCTCATTTGCCTTTTAGTTCTTTTCTTGGTATAGATATCTGGCTACAGAGCCAGAGGCTGGGAGTTAGATTCTCCCTGTGCTTCATATAATCATAGGATCATAGAAAAGTGAAAAGGCCATCACGTCCAACCCCCTGCTCAATGCAGGAGTACAATCAAAACATATCTGCCAGGTGATTATCTAAGTTTTTCTTCAATGCCTCCAGTGTTGGCGCCCTCAGCAACTCCCGAGGTAACTGGTTCCACGGTTGTACTGCTCTACAGTTAGGAAGTTTTTCCTGATATTCAACTGAAATCTGGCTGCCTTTAACTTGAGCCCATTGTTGAGTGTCCTGCACTTTGGGATGATCAAGAACAGATCTTGTCCCTCCTCTGTATGACAGCCTTTCAGATATTTTTTGAATATTCAAAATCCTATCATATCACCCCTCCGTCTTCTTTTCCCAAGGAACATGCCCAGTTCTTTCAGCCTTTCCTCATAAGGCTCGGTTTCCAGCCCCCTGATCATACTTGTTGCCCTCCTCTGAACTTATTCCAATTTGTTAGAATCCTTATTGAAGTATGGTGTCCAGAACTGGACATAATACTCAAAGTGAGGCCTAACGAGTGCTGAATAGAAGGGGACTAGCACCTCACGGGATTTGAAAACTATACTTCTGTTAATTCAGCCTAAAATAGCATTAGCTTTTTTTTGTAGCCACATCACACTGTTGGCTCATATTTAGCTTGTGATCTATGACAATTCCAAGATCCTTCTCACTCGTAGTTTTGCTGAGATGATTCTATGAGATGATTCTAAGATGATTCTTAGATTATTCTTATTAAGATTCTCATGAAACTGCAAAACACAATAAAATGGGTAACAGTATATCATGTATACTTCTGTTCATTATTATCGGCTGGCTAAAAAAGTATTCCTCATGTTAGTATCATTGGCAGATCAAAATAACATTCTTACATTCCAGAACACACTATGCCTTGCTTTAAGACAGTTCAGTGAACTCCACTGTGAACTCCATGGTGTTTTGTGGCAGTGGTAAATGACAGGAAAGATTGATCTGTGTTGTTTGATCAATGGTGCAACCACAAAGTGATTCTAGTTTTCAAGCAACGAACATACAAAGATGAACTAGCCTGAAATGATGATAATCCTCCTCCTCTTTCTCATTTTCTGTTAATGAAAGCTGTTTCTTATATTCAAGGTATCAAATGTACAAAGCTATTTTCCTTCTTCAAAGGGATTAAGAAAACACTTTCAAATCTATAATTTGTTCTGCTTTCTGCAGTTCAGAGGAAAGATGCCTCCTCCATGTGATCCAGTGTGCAAGATGGTAGAGTGGATTATTGCAGTTTGGCAACAGCTGAACTCATGCTTATCAAGACTCGGTGCAGCTGAAGCCCTTGTGGGACCCAAGCATTTTCTGTCTTGTCCAGTGGTGCCTGGTCACAGTCATGCAACAGTGAAGTATGCATTGCATTTACTATTTGGTAAAGTCATAATGCCATGTCAGCCTTCGAAATACTTCTGTCTCCTGTACCCTCCATCACTCCATGTTAATCCAATTCTATAAACTTTCAAATCTTTACCTTAATATTTTGTTTCTGAACAAGTGGGGATGATCAAATATAGAAAATCCTCGCTGCAGTCTATCAACATTCATGAAAAGTAGATCCCATAGAAGTCAATGGAACCAACTCCCAAGGACGTGCATCTAAGACATTCGCTTTAAAGCAATAGTTTGATTGAATATACAGCCCAAATAATTATATATTTGGGTGGGAGGGGGTTATTGGTATCTATGTAACATGAAATGTTGCTGTGGTTAGTTGCAGCGCGTCGGTGAGGAGCTGGGGCATCTCGGCTGTGTGCCTCGTCATGCACCTAATGACACAGCTGAGATGCATTCCAGCACCTCATATATTAGCTGCAACTAACCATAGTAAATTATGTAAACCTTACATGAATACAAATAAGATTCTGACTAGTGGATTGCATCCTTCATTCCCCATTTAACTCACAGGAAGGAATCATTTCAAGTTAACCAACACATGTAGGATTATTCTTTTAACTTAGAATCTCTTCATTCTGAGACAATAAAACACATGCTTCTGTTTCTTCAAGGGAAAATGCATGTTCTAGTCATATTGTTTGTATTATGTAGGTATTTGATAATAGATCTAACAGAATTTGACTAGAGTTATAGTAATCAACAGCAAATGCCTCAGGATACCTTCATTTTCTGTGCATTTCTGTGCATTCATAATACACTTTTTTTTTTCTTCAGTGGGGGCTATGAGCAATAGCTTATAGGTGCAGAAGCCCCAATGGGCACAACCATCTCCCATAAACAGGGGATTTGCCATTTATCTCCCAGAAAGAATTGCCTTATGATCTGATATTTATCATTATGATAACTACTCAACAAAGCACTTTTTGTTTTCTCAGAATTTGGAAACTATGTTTATCATGGTTCTAGTATTTTCTACTTTTGTATTCTTCTGTTGTGGTTGGCTCTGTGCAGATTATGGTTTCCGACCACATTCTCCACTTTTCAGATTATTAGTCAAGAAATGCAAATGAAAATATGCCATTTTTGGTATCGCGTCTGCACAGTTGAATGGGGAATTAATTGAATGAGGAATTGACTTGTGGAAGATAATGATGTTAAAGGGGCATTTTTGAAAGCGTACAATCATTTCATCTGTTTTTCTTCTCCCACGGACAGTTTATCAATCATCATATTTTAATGCTCCTTTGACTACACTACTTCCACTGTGCAGTGGTGCCTCAACTTATGAACTTAATTGGTTCTGGAAGATGTGCGTTGTAGCGTAGCGTCCTCTCTGAAGCCCTTATTCTCTCAGGCCTCCAGGAGGTTCTTGCTCTTCTTCCTTCTTCACTGCCACCAGGTATTGCTGTCTCAATACCAATCACTCAAGGAGACATGTGTAACTTTGAAACTTAACTTATTTATTTGATCAGGGAGGGTAACATCTGATTAATATGCAGTAGGTAAATCACAGGTTGATAATCACTTGAATCTGAATCAGTACTACCATTCAGCATCCTCTCAGATCTCTCACTCACTCTTAGATCACTCTTAAGTTTCACACAGTCTCTCAATACCAGAATCTCTCTCAAACACAGAATCTCCCTCACTCCATGAACTCTTTTACTCAACCCCTTTCATACTCCATACACCAGCCTTTATATCCAAACCCATCCCCCCTTGGCACCACCTGTTCACTCATTGGCTCCTTTTCCACTGCTCAGCTGTGATGGACAGGTGAGGGCAGGGCTGTACGCTACATGCCTAAGTCAGAATGGTCATAATTTGAGGCACCATTTCCCATTGAAATGCAATTAATCCATTCTGGCCGAAGAAAAAAATCACCAAAAAAATCACTGCAAGACTCATTGGAAACAATTAATCCCTTTCAGCCGAAGGGGTGGGGGAGAAGAGCAATCAAGCATGCAAGACCCATCAGAAATGCACAGAAAACAAAGGGCAATGGTCAGAAATGTAAAGAGAACAAAGGGACTAGGTCAGAAATGCAAAGGGAACAAAGGGACTAGGTCAGAAATGCAAAGGGAACAAATGGAGCAGGTCGGAAATGCACAGAAAACAAAGGGAGCAGTTCAGAAATGCACAGAAAACAAAGGGAG